TACGAATTAAGTAAATATATTTGAAATTATAAATAATACAATAACCGAATAAAGAGATTCTAAATTATAAATAAGATTATAGATTTAATACAATTTTATATTTATTAAGATATAAATAAATAAAATAACCAAAACCTATTTATATTATTTAAAGATCATAACAAATTATGCTTGATATTTTAATTAATAGTATTTTGAATTATATCTAGAATTTTTTAATTATTATACATTTACCAGAATTAAAATAAATAAACTGAATAAATAATAGTTACATAAATTATATATTTGTCAAACTTTTAAAAAATATAAAGTAATATAAAAACCAAATAAAAGAAATAAATGCGTATCATATATATATAGTGAATACAAAACATTTTATTTACAAATTACTATTTTAATAATATATTATATATAGAAGTAACATTTTATTTTACTGTAAATAAATAAAACTAATTTAATTTAGTTTAATTTTATTTATATATATCATATTACTACAATTAAAAACCGTATATTTAAATTTTATATTCACATTTATTTTACATTTATATTTATATTTGAATTTATTTAAATGAAATTATCGTTTTGTTTTTTATTAAATAGTAATATATTTATTTATTATTTTCGAATTTCAAATTTAATTTTATTTATTTTGATTTTGATTTTAATTATTTTACTTTCCTTCTTTGATTTCATGCTTTGGAAGTTTCATATATCTTTGTTATAACTATTTTAGGGGTAAAAAAGTAAATTCTGTGACTTTGGGGTGAAAAAATGAAGAAAAAGCCGCACAGCACGCCCGTGCACACCACTTCCGTCATCTTAGACGGTTTAGGGTGCTTCGCGCATGCAAAAGTACATTACAACGGGGTTTGACGCAATTTTTAAATTACAGGGGGATAACGCGCAAATTTAATATAATACAGGGGGGTTTGGTGCAATTTACCCGGTTTAATTGTAAGAATAATCACGACCAATTCACAAAATCATGACCCTTTTGAAAAAGTTCTGTTTAATCTGCAATTTATGAAAAGGCCATGATTTTTTGTGCAACTAGGCCTATATGTAACCAGTAGTCTTTCTTTTCTTCTTTTGTCTGTTGGGTGATGTTTGGTTTCCTAATAATTGTTTCATAATATAAACTGCACGATACATGCTTTACAGTATTTTACTACGAAATATGATTCTATAAAAGAAACCTTTAGCTTCGAGAAATACAAATTTACTGTATAACAAGATGCTGCTGCGAAAAAAAAGAGGTTTTCAAGCGGCACATAATTAGGCATGCTTTCTGTCTATATTTGCTATCAGCAGAAGGGGTTATCTGGAGATTTGCGTGTTTAGATACTGCAAGAGGGTACACTTCCTTGAAACGTTACTTCGGGAAGTTGTCCATATCTGTCATTAATGTACAAATTGTGAAATTTGTTGCATATTGAATATTTTGTCACTCGACGAGAGATATGCATATTTTGTTTCTGTAGTTATTGGGA